TAGTGTTAATGCTTCACATCAGAGAAATCACGACTAGTGTTAGCGCTTCACATCAGAGAAATCACGACTAGTGTTAGCGCTTCACATCAGACAGATCACGACTAGTGTTAGCGCTTCACATCAGAGAGATCACGACTAGTGTTAGCGCTTCACATCAGACAGATCACGACTAGTGTTAGCGCTTCACATCAGAGAAATCACGACTAGTGTTAGCGCTTCACATCAGACAGATCACGACTAGTGTTAGCGCTTCACATCAGAGAAATCACGACTAGTGTTAGCGCTTCACATCAGAGAAATCACGACTAGTGTTAGCGCTTCACATAAGAGAAATCACGACTAGTGTTAGCGCTTCACTTCAGAGAAATCACGACTAGTGTTAGCGCTTCACATCAGTGAAATCACGACTAGTGTTAGTGCTTCACATCAGAGAAATCACGACTAGTGTTAGCGCTTCACATCAGACAGATCACGACTAGTGTTAGCGCTTCACATCAGAGAAATCACGACTAGTGTTAGCGCTTCACATCAGAGAAATCACGACTAGTGTTAGCGCTTCACATCAGAGAAATCACGACTAGTGTTAGCGCTCCACATCAGACAGATCACGACTAGTGTTAGCGTTTCACATCAGAGAAATCACGACTAGTGTTAGCGCTTCACATCAGAGAAATCACGACTAGTGTTAGCGCTTCACATCAGAGAAATCACGACTAGTGTTAGCGCTCCACATCAGACAGATCACGACTAGTGTTAGCGTTTCACATCAGAGAAATCACGACTAGTGTTAGCGTTTCACATCAGAGAAATCACGACTAGTGTTAGCGCTTCACATCAGAGAAATCACGACTAGTGTTAGCGCTTCACATCAGAGAAATCACGACTAGTGTTAGCGCTTCACATCAGAGAAATCACGACTAGTGTTAGCGCTCCACATCAGACAGATCACGACTAGTGTTAGCGTTTCACATCAGAGAAATCACGACTAGTGTTAGCGCTTTACATCAGAGAAATCACGACTAGTGTTAGCGCTTCACATCAGACAAATCACGACTAGTGTTAGCGCTCCACATCAGAGAAATCACGACTAGTGTTAGCGTTTCACATCAGAGAAATCACGACTAGTGTTAGCGCTTCACATCAGAGAAATCACGACTAGTGTTAGCGCTTCACATAAGAGAAATCACGACTAGTGTTAGCGCTTCACTTCAGAGAAATCACGACTAGTGTTAGCGCTTCACATCAGAGAAATCACGACTAGTGTTAACGCTTCACATCAGACAGATCACGACTAGTGTTAGCGCTTCACATCAGAGAAATCACGACTAGTGTTAGCGCTTCACATCAGTGAAATCACGACTAGTGTTAGCGCTTCACATCAGAGAAATCACGACTAGTGTTAGCGCTTCACATCAGACAGATCACGACTAGTGTTAGCGCTTCACATCAGAGAAATCACGACTAGTGTTAGCGCTTCACATCAGAGAAATCACGACTAGTGTTAGCGCTTCACATCAGAGAAATCACGACTAGTGTTAGCGCTCCACATCAGACAGATCACGACTAGTGTTAGCGTTTCACATCAGAGAAATCACGACTAGTGTTAGCGCTTCACATCAGAGAAATCACGACTAGTGTTAGCGCTTCACATCAGAGAAATCACGACTAGTGTTAGCGCTTCACATCAGAGAAATCACGACTAGTGTTAGCGCTTCACATCAGAGAAATCTCGACTAGTGTTAGCGCTTCACATCAGAGAAATCACGACTAGTGTTAGCGCTCCACATCAGACAGATCACGACTAGTGTTAGCGTTTCACATCAGAGAAATCACGACTAGTGTTAGCGCTTTACATCAGAGAAATCACGACTAGTGTTAGCGCTTCACATCAGAGAAATCACGACTAGTGTTAGCGCTTCACATCAGAGAAATCACGACTAGTGTTAGCGTTTCACATCAGAGAAATCACGACTAGTGTTAGCGCTTCACATCAGAGAAATCACGACTAGTGTTAGCGCTTCACATCAGAGAAATCACGACTAGTGTTAGCGCTTCACATCAGAGAAATCAAGACTAGTGTTAGCGCTTCACATCAGAGAAATCACGACTAGTGTTAGCGCTTCACATCAGAGAAATCACGACTAGTGTTAGCGCTCCACATCAGACAGATCACGACTAGTGTTAGCGTTTCACATCAGAGAAATCACGACTAGTGTTAGCGCTTTACATCAGAGAAATCACGACTAGTGTTAGCGCTCCACATCAGACAGATCACGACTAGTGTTAGCGCTTCACATCAGAGAAATCACGACTAGTGTTAGCGCTTCACATCAGAGAAATCACGACTAGTGTTAGCGCTTCACATCAGAGAAATCACGACTAGTGTTAGCGCTTCACATCAGAGAAATCACGACTAGTGTTAGCGCTTTACATCAGAGAAATCACGACTAGTGTTAGCGCTTCACATCAGAGAAATCACGACTAGTGTTAGCGCTTCACATCAGAGAAATCACGCCTAGTGTTAGCGCTCCACATCAGAGAAATCACGACTAGTGTTAGCGCTTCACATCAGAGAAATCACGACTAGTGTTAGCGCTTCACATCAGAGAAATCACGACTAGTGTTAGCGCTTCACATCAGAGAAATCACGACTAGTGTTAGCGCTTCACATCAGAGAAATCACGACTAGTGTTAGCGCTTCACATCAGAGAAATCACGACTAGTGTTAGCGCTTCACATCAGAGAAATCACGACTAGTGTTAATGCTTCACATCAGACAGATCACGACTAGTGTTAGCGCTTCACATCAGACAGATCACGACTAGTGTTAGCGCTTCACATCAGAGAAATCACGACTAGTGTTAGCGCTTCACATCAGAGAAATCACGCCTAGTGTTAGCGCTCCACATCAGAGAAATCACGACTAGTGTTAGCGCTTCACATCAGAGAAATCACGACTAGTGTTAGCGCTTCACATCAGAGAAATCACGACTAGTGTTAGCGCTTCACATCAGAGAAATCACGACTAGTGTTAGCGCTTCACATCAGAGAAATCACGACTAGTGTTAGCGCTTCACATCAGAGAAATCACGACTAGTGTTAGCGCTTCACATCAGAGAAATCACGACTAGTGTTAGCGCTTCACATCAGAGAAATCACGACTAGTGTTAGCGCTTCACATCAGAGAAATCACGACTAGTGTTAGCGCTTCACATCAGAGAAATCACGACTAGTGTTAGCGCTTCACATCAGAGAAATCACGACTAGTGTTAGCGCTTCACATCAGAGAAATCACGACTAGTGTTAATGCTTCACATCAGACAGATCACGACTAGTGTTAGCGCTTCACATCAGAGAAATCACGACTAGTGTTAGCGCTTCACATCAGAGAAATCACGACTAGTGTTAGCGCTTCACATCAGAGAAATCACGACTAGTGTTAGCGCTTTACATCAGAGAAATCACGACTAGTGTTAGCGCTTCACATCAGAGAAATCACGACTAGTGTTAGCGCTTCACATCAGAGAAATCACGACTAGTGTTAGCGCTCCACATCAGAGAAATCACGACTAGTGTTAGCGCTTCACATCAGAGAAATCACGACTAGTGTTAGCGCTTCACATCAGAGAAATCACGACTAGTGTTAGCGCTTCACATCAGAGAAATCACGACTAGTGTTAGCGCTTCACATCAGAGAAATCACGACTAGTGTTAGCGCTTCACATCAGACAGATCACGACTAGTGTTAGCGCTTCACATCAGAGAAATCACGACTAGTGTTAGCGCTTCACATCAGACAGATCACGACTAGTGTTAGCGCTCCACATCAGAGAAATCACGACTAGTGTTAGCGTTTCACATCAGAGAAATCACGACTAGTGTTAGCGCTTCACATCAGAGAAATCACGACTAGTGTTAGCGTTTCACATAAGAGAGATCACGACTAGTGTTAGCGCTTCACATCAGAGAAATCACGACTAGTGTTAGCGCTTCACATCAGAGAAATCACGACTAGTGTTAGCGCTTCACATCAGACAGATCACGACTAGTGTTAGCGCTTCACATCAGAGAAATCACGACTAGTGTTAGCGCTTCACATCAGAGAAATCACGACTAGTGTTAGCGCTTCACATCAGAGAAATCACGACTAGTGTTAGCGCTTCACATCAGAGAAATCACGACTAGTGTTAGCGCTTCACATCAGAGAAATCACGACTAGTGTTAGCGCTTCACATCAGAGAGATCACGACTAGTGTTAGCGCTTCACATCAGACAGATCACGACTAGTGTTAGCGCTTCACATCAGACAGATCACGACTAGTGTTAGCGCTTCACATCAAAGAAATCTGCTTTACAATCACTGATGAGAGATTTATTATTCTGAGAGATCATTTTAAGATCAGCGATTGTAAAGCAGAATTCTCTGATTATGAACAGCTGAAGGTTAATTTTGAAAATTGAGAGATTTATTGTGTTGAGATTGGCAAGATTAAAGTTTAAAGTAACTATTCATCATATATTGATGTATACAGTATGACATCATATGTTAATATAATATAATAGCACCATTAATAAAAACATTATACAAGTTAATTAAACTACTCAGTAACTTATGAACACTCAAAAATGATTATGAAAATATAAAAAATAAAAAGTAATGACATTGCTAACAACTATAATGTACATTATAATGATAATGAATGTAATAATGTAATTAGTTGTTATGAATGTACATACTGTTAATGTGATGATCAGTTCAGCTACCCTGCAATAGTTTCAACAGTTCAAAGCAGATTTTCGATACGTTATGCCCTAAATTAATACATGATTAACTAACTTTATTTTTTCTATGTACATTTCTGAAATGCACTTTCTGTAAAGCTGCTTTGAAACAATATGTATTGTGAAAAGCGCTATACAAATAAATTTGAATTTAATTTTCCCTAAAACCAGAAAATTCAACGAGCCAGAAGAGTACAGATTGATATATTAATACTCACTCAAAGCAGAAAACCGCTCCAGTGTGAATAAGAGGAGAAAGAGCGTCCCCATGTTCCTGGCTGTGAGTTTCTCTGACCAACTGAGGGTTCGAGCGCTCCGGAGGAAACTCATTCAGGGGAAGGAAAAGTCATGACCGGCGTTTCCTTCTATTCAACAGTGTGAGGCGAGTGACAGTACAGGGATCTCACACGCCTCAGCCTGGGCACATCATGACACGCACGCCACCTTGGCTGGAATGAGGGCCATTAAATATTAGTATATGAAGTTGAATCTGTGTTGACAACTGGTCTCTGCTACGCATGTTCGAAATATTATACAATATAATGGAAGTTCAGTCCAGTTGAAGACATGCAGAGATTTCTGGAAGACCTTCAGATCCTCGGAGATCTCCATTACCTTCAGGAAATACAATGGCTGAGCACACATTCCACCTCACCACAACACACACACACACTTTATATACTTTATTTGATTCCACATTACACGTTTATTTCATTTAGAATCAAATTTTTTGAATAATCCAACAGAACAAATCAGCACATTGTTATGGATACACACACACACACGGCCTTTGCTGACGAATTCAGTGTATCAAACGTATTTAATGAAAAACATGCGTTAACTGTGATAGCTCCTGTTGTGTTGTGTTTAACAGGGCTTATAGGCACAGATTGGGTTTGAGTGAGCACCTGCTTTACAACATCAGACATCAGTAAAGGCACAAAAAGATATTTGAACTAATTAGTTTTAAGGATCCCACTTTTTCCCTGGTATTGATTCCGAACACAGGATCTCAGTTGACAGAGTACAGGACAGGAGTCCAGGACATTTTGCCTATTCATGAAGCCGACTGTTGATTGTTCAATAGCTAACCCAGGACACTGCGTGGGCTGTTGCGGCCGATCTGTTTGTGGATTATACATCCGCCTCATGTTGGAGTATATCGGAGGATTCTTGGCATTCTTGGTCCCTCTGGATCTTGGTCTTCCCTCCGGAATATGCTCTACTATTAAAGCCGGGTACACACTTCACGACTAGCCGAACATTCCAAGACTGAACTGAATACACTGACAGACGGGTTGCAACGACTGCTGCAGATTTTAAACAACAACTGTGAACACCGACTGAAAGCAACTCTCTCTGACCTGGCGTGTTTGGGCATGATCAGTCATAAGTATCAAATCACATTCATAATCGGCCTTAAAGTCGTTAGTGTCCCATGCATAAACAACACTGCTGAGATTCAGGCATTTAGCAGATGGGACTAAGATTTTTTTTACTATTTTTTCATCCATCCCTTCATTTATTCATCTAAGTTCTTTTTTTTTACTGAACGATTGTTTCCCTATTTTGTGTGTAGCCTCAACAGTATACTACGCTGAGTGTTACACATTGGTGGGCCGTAAGGGGACGTACTATTATCTTCCCTTATTGTATTTTTAACTATGGAGGAAACAGATAATAACGTCTCGGTTACTTGCGTGACCTTCGTTCCCTAAAATAACGGGAACAAGTATTGCGTCTTTGCTAGACACTATGTGGAAAACTCCTTTTTCTTCCAATTCTGAAGCCTTTAATTCAAAAGTGCAGTGCCTACTGGCAGAGCGGCGATCTGAACGCGCGTATCGGCTGCTCAGTGGGAACTGCAAGAACCTATGGCGAGGCAAACCAATCCTGGCACATCCCGCCAGGTGAGCGCAGAGCACACGAGAAGTGGCAGGGCGACTGCCTATAAAGAAGCTAATTTCGCCATAGGAATCAGGTATAATTCGACTGAAGCGACGAACGCCAGTCGTGAAGCGACATAGCATTGCCATCTACACAATACTCGTATCCATTATCTCAGGAAACCGAGGTTACGGAGGCGTTCGCTTTCGAAATGTTTACTCGTATTGTGTCTTTGCTAGATGCTATGGGGAATCAATCCAACACTGTCATGCTATGTGAGCAGAAGGACATGTACTGAGGCCCTAGCCTGGAGCGCTCCGTTGAGGGTCCCTAGACAGTCAGGGTAGGGAAGGGCAAGATATGCCTACAAAGAAGGGCTCGGACTGAGGTCGGAGCCTCTGGAGGGGTAATTAAACTAACAGAGATTGTTTAGCGTCAACATCACGCGCTTGCACCCCTGCTGGCGAGGTCGACTAACAGCAGATGGAGAGTATGCTCGGTAATCCACTGCTTTTCCTGCAGTACCTGGATGTCAACGTTGAATTTACTGTCGAATTTGAACCACTGAATTTGTGGAAGCGAATTAAAATGGACCGAGAATTGCCTGTTGAATATTATAGGTTCTGTTTTTAAACAGTTTGAATATTTTGGAAGTGAAATATGAAAGCATGTTTTCTTTTTCCAATATCGATATGAACAATATAAAAGCCAAAATTCTCCTCTCAAACGGATCCTGGAGGAGAGACTGTACCGAGTTAGAGTTGGGAGTCATTTTGTTCGCCATTGTCATACAGTAAAAATGGCGCCCTAAGACTCGTCCGGACTGAAGGAGTGGTGCGCATGGAGCTAAAAGAATCGCCCATAGCGGACTAGATTTGAGCTCGCTGATTGGCTACAGTTTATGCCAAACATTTACATCTTAAATCAGATTGGCTAAGCCGCTCCACAGCGGTTTCTCCAGCGCCCCAGAGCTGAAGACACGTGCAGACAGCTGTAGAAAAACCAGACGTGTAGAAAAAACAGACATTTTGAATTTCTATTTTATTTTTCACATATAGTGGGTGCATTTAATTTCTCAAACACACAATTATTGACAATTTGTATACATGATTGATTTATGTATTTACTTATTGCGTGTGGCTCATAAACTGTGGTCTGGCTCACGGCGCCCTCTATTGGCCAGCCGCCTCTGGGTTGGCCAATATTGATATTGATTTATTGTCCAGCCCTAGTGTAAACCACAACAAACACTTTAGCATGCTAAAACCAAGATCATCAGCAGTGCAATGTCACCTCTTCAGCTATTGAGTACTGTACTTAAGTATGCTTTTTCAGTATCTGTACTTGGTAACGCTTTAAATTACAGTCCGCAAAGTACTGTGTAATTTAGACGAATTTACAGTGTAACTTTCGGTAATTATAGTGTAGTGTACATATAAAGTACTTTGTGTAAGTATAAGGGAACAACTTGTAATGTTTGGGGAATAAAGGGGTAACACCCAGGAGAATTAACAAATTATTTATGGGCCATTCTACAGAATTTGTGTAAAGTCAGAGTTGGAAACATCTTGAAATTCTTTTGTTTTTTCCCACAAATTTAGCATGTTTGCAAATTGTATAATATCCAGGGTATGCTTTTCTAGTAATTGTGCAGTTAATTCTCATATTGTTTTTTCAGAAAATGCTGGAATATTTCCCTTCTCCCCAAATTTGTCACTACCGAAACACAATTTTAAATAATTTATTAAGAAGGCTTATAATGACCTATTCAAATTTTGTTTACATCTACCTTAGAAATATATATTTTTTCTATTTAAAAAAATATATATTTTTACAAGTTAAATCAATAAAGATTATAATTTTAATAATATTTTAAGTGTAATTTATGAGATTTGTTGTATTTTGAACCCAATCTTTCTTTGTAGAAGGCATAAAGTTTATCGTACTGATTTCAAAGTTAAGGATTCATTAGTTTGAATATGCATTGAACCAAACACTATCATTCATAACATCTTATTTGATAATTCAATATACTTTATTTTTGACAAAACAACCCATGTTACGGTAGTGACTGCACATTTGTGGTAGTGACCACAATACTTAAGTTTGCCATGTCTGAATCAGACTGTCCACATTTGATGTTAATATAAATAAATAACTATGATGCACATATGCAGTCAGTACATATAGCAGACACACATCTGACAGTGAATATCTTATAAGAACACCTAGAGCTATTCTATACTTTGGGTCTTGAGGTGCAAGTGAGAAGAGCTATGCTCATAGATTTGTCTTCCTAAAAAACAACAATTTACAATGTAGACTGTTTCAGAACCACTTTGTTTTATTTTCACATTTTCAAGATTTTATTTATGAGTCATTCAGATAAATCTCCAGAACCACTGAACTGTGTGTGTGTGTGTGTGTGTGAGACATGTTCTATAGTTGCTGATTTTTGCTCGTGTTCCCCCTTGTCCCCCAGTGTGTGTGTGCACTGGTGTCTGATCACCCTCACTGGGAGTGCTAGGGGGTGTGGAAGCCCTGCAAAATGTCTCCACCTCTTTTTGTCTTTTCTCCATCATCCTGTGTCTTTTCCTCCATGCTTTTCTGACATATCTTTGCTCCCAGTCAGATAATTCACTGATACTCTTCAACTTTCCTTCTTCCCTTCGTTTCTTATTTCTTTCTCTTTCAAGTATTCCTCGTACGTCACTGGGTCTTCCCTCAACCTGTTTGAATTCTCTCTGTCTCTCTGTTGTAGTTTTTTTTTTTTTTTTTGGCATGTTGGTGTTTTATGTCATTCTCCCTGTCAAGTTAATCATAGAAATTAACATTACTGACAACAACCTTACACCTAAGCTAACGTTAGTAGTATCATGGACTGCAACCTTAAGTAATTGTAACCTCATCATATTACAGAATTTTAACAGAATCTTGCATACTAAAACACTAATAAAACACACTACAGTAGTAATTATTTGCATAACTGTACTAAAATGTAGTTTATTCCTACAAATAAAGGATTATGTTTTCCCTTTTGTCACAACCGAAACTTCAAGACATGTTTCGGTTGTGACTGTTTTGGTAGTGACAATTTTAGTTACGTTTGAGCCTAGCTCGAAGATGCTAATCAGCACATGGTTAGCAATCACTGGTCAGAACAGTTGAACACATATAACTAAATTTTATGGAATAACATCCAAAAAAGTTCTCTCAATAGCAGAGAAAAGTAGTTTGGTAGTGACATTCCGTAAAGTTACACACATTTACCTCAAAATGATGGGGTCAATCTCCTCCCCATAGAGCACATGAGAGAGAAGGACACAGGGATATTCGCTGATCAAACATGCAGGGGTGTGGTTGAAATCAGTCTCAGCCCAACAACATGACATCATGACTTTGCGTAAACATACACGCCACTTTCAATTCAAGTGGCGTGTTATCTATACGCATTTTGAGCTATCCGCGTGT